CCCAAGGATGCCCATGAGCCCCCCCGAAAATCTCATGGATTTCTCCAGGTGCCCGATGGATGTCCGAAGGAATCCAATGGATGTCCTGAGGGGCCGCATGGATTTCTAAAAGATTATGGTGTATTTTCTTAGGACTCCAATCGATTTCTTCCGGGCCCTGATGGGCCACGCAGGAGACCTATGGGCGCCCTAAGGATTCCGCAAGATTTTCTAGGGAACGCGATAAATTTCTGGAGGAATCCTGTGGCTGTTTGAAGGAATCCAATGGAATTCCGAAGGCGAACTATGGATTCCCGAAAGAATCTCATGGATCTCTGCCGGAATCCCACGGAACCTCTTCGAAGTCGCATCGATGTCCAAAGCAAACCGATGGATGTCCTGAGGAATCCCATGGATTTCCTTTGGACCATGGGTATCCGAAGGAATCCAATATAGTCCCTAAGGCCAGCGATGATTGTTCTAAGGGTTCCGCTGGGTTTCATGAAACGTCGTTAGATGGCTTAAGGGTTCTTTTGTAGATTTATTGAAGAGTATGGATGTCCTAAAGACTGCGACTTGGATTGCGTAAGGAATCCGATGGATGTCCTCTAAGGTATTCTGTCTTGATTTCCTACGGAATCCGATGGACGTCCTCTGGATTCCCATAGATTGCCTATGGAACCATATGAACTTCTGATGGATAGCCTCAGGAATCTCATGAATGTCCTAAGGATTCCCATGGATATCCGAAGGGTTCTCTTGGATTTCCGAAGGGATCCGAAGAGCGCCCTAAGAGTCTTCAAGTCTTCATAGATTCCCCAAGGAGTCTCATGGATGTCCCTAGGCAATCTATGGCTTGCCCAAGGAATCCGATGGATGCCCTAAGAAACCTTATGGATTGCCGGGACAATCTTATGGATACTCGCAGGAAGCCCATGGATTTAGCGTCATGTGGATGCTTTAAGAAATCCGATTGATTTCCACAGGCTCCTTATGCTTTCATGAGCAGTCAAATGGATTTCGCAAGGAGTACGTTTCCCCCTCCTCGCGCGCCCCACCCGAATTTCCCCGCGTTTCTTTTTGTTCCCACCCGATTTTCCCCAACATGTTCTTGCCTGTTCCGGCGCGTTCGTGGCCGCAGCTTTTGAATGTGATGCCGCTGCGCATGCGAATGCCTCGAGCGGCCTCAGCTCTCTGCTGCCGAACGAGAGTCAAAATCGAATTCGACCTCGCAGGTGGGGACTTTTTGATGTTGCACTCATGCGGGAAATTCTCCCAGAAGCTCGGGGCGCCCATCCGAGTGACTGCGGATGTCCTAATGGTTCCAATGGATTTCCTTCGCATTCCGATTGATTCCCGAAGGTTCTCTATAGATGTCCTGCGGCAACTTGCGGATTTCCTAAGAGATCCTGTGGATGTCCTAAGGGGTCCGATTGATGTCCGAAGGATTGCTTTGTATGTCTTATGGGTTCTCGTAGATTCCCTAAGAAAGCCCATGGATGTCCTAGGGGATCCTATGGGGGCCCTCAGGATTCGTAGGATTCCATTCCCTAAGGAATCGATGGGTCTCCTATTTCATCCATTATATCCCTTGGACATCATATCAATTTCCAAAATCCCCACCAATATCACAACGTAAGACATTTCGTGGATTTTCACAAGGAAACCTGCGCACTGCTTCAGGAATCTAATGGATCCCCTGAGGAAACCGACGGCCCCCCCAAAGGAATCCCTCGGATCCCCGCAAGAGTCCTTCGGAACCCAATCGACGTCAGAAGGGTCCCGCTTGGATTCCGAAGGGATCATTTGGATTGCCGAGAGTGTGTTATGGATTTCATAAGGAATCCGATGGACGCTCCGATGGGCGCCCCAAGGATCCCCATAGATTGCCAAAGGAATACGATGGAATTCCGAAGGGATGTTGCCGATTTCCAGAGGAGAGCCCACGGATGTCCGAAGGAATTCTATAGATTTCTCACGGAGCGTGACAATGTTGAGTTGTTGCGTGCCCGCTCGAGGAATGTGCGCCCCCCGCGCCACAAAATCGAGGACGTCTCGGGCGAAACGCTTGTTTTGCAAAACTTGAGGGACCTAGGCGCCCCAGCGTGCCCCAGGAGGCCCTGGGAGCGCGGAGGCGGCGTAATCTACGAGGGATCGTGGCGTTTGGAGCGCGGACCACACGTAGTTTATAGTGGCCCTCGGAGTGCGGGCGCAGCGTAATTTACGAGGGGTCGGGGCCTTGGGAGCCCGGACGCAATGTAATGTACGAGGGATCGTGGCCCTGGGAGTGCGGACGCAGGGTAATTTACAAGGGGTCGGGGCCCTGGGAGCTCGGACGCAGCGTAATTTACGAGGGATCGTGGCCCTGGGAGCGCGGACGCAGTGTAATCTACAGAGGGTCGGGGCCCTGGGAGCGCGACCCCAATGTATTTTGCAAGGTATCGTGGCCCCGGGAGCGCGGCCGCAGCGTAATTTACGAGGGATCGTGGCCCTGGGAGCGCGACCCCAGTGTGATTTGCAAGGGATCGCGGCAGTGGTAGCGCGGACCCTACGTCGCCTGGCGCGTCCTTTGGGTCGTTCCGCGGCGCGTCCTCCTGGCATGTTCCCTTGCCAATTAGCTCTGGGCCAGCTACTATGTGCTGAGGCAGCTCGAACTTGAGATCCAGATCGGTTCGGTCAGGACTCGGATGCAAAGGAGGACTCGGTCCACAGCGCTATAGAGCACAATCGCGGCATGGCACATCGCAGTTCAGCACGGCCCAGCACAGCACAGCCGCCGGCACGGTACATCAAGATCGATACACAGCATTGCAATTTGTCACGTTCCGTGGCGCGTGCCGTGGCGAGCCCCCTTGGCACGTCGCGCGGCGCGTCCCCCTGGCACGTCCCGTGGCACGTCCAGTGGCACGTTCCGTGGCGCGTCCCCTCGGCACGTCCCGCGGTGCGTCTTCGTTGCACGTCCCCTGGCACGTCGCCTGGCGCGTCCCTTGGGACTTTCCGCGGCGCGCCCTCCTGGCATGTTTAGCTCTGGGCCAGCTACTATGTGCTGAGGCAGCTCGAGCTTACGATCCAGATCAGTTCGGTCAGGACACGGATGCAAAGGAGGACTGGATCCACAACCCTATAGAGCACAATCGCGGCATGGCACGTCGCAATTCAGCACGGCCCAGCACAGCACAGCCCTCGGCACGGTACATCAAGATCGACACATTCAACATTGCGTTTGCCCGTCGCCCAATCAGGTGTCTTTGAAACGTTGCCATGCCTTACATGTCTAGATTCCTTTCCGGGTTCGTGGGCCGATCATGTTTTTCCCGGAAAGGGCTGGGGCCCAGGTTTCTCTTTTAGTGTGTTTACCTCCGGTTCTGACGGCTGTAGGCCCGGCGAAAATGTTTTGCGATAAATATCGAGGTCGCGTAAGGCCGGCGACATTATGTTTGAGGATGTCTCCAGCGAAACGCTTGTTTTTCAAAATTTGTTGAGGATGTCTCGAGCGAAACGCTTGTTTCGTGTTATATTTTGTTCTCCCCTGGGGACCTGAATTCAATGGATCTCTCAAGCAAAATGCTTGTTTTCACGTGCCCAGGTCTTGAGGATGTCTCGAGCGAGACGCTTGGTTTCACGCCTCCAGGTTGCCCAGACAGATGTCTAGCATGAGGATTTGCTGAGGATGTCTCGAACCAGAGGCTTGTTTTCACGTGTCCAGGTCGCCCAGGCGGGTGTCGAGCATGAGGATGTGCCGAGGAAGTCTCGATCGAGACGCTTATTTGCACGTGTCCAGGTTGCCCAGGCGGATGTCTAGCATGAGGATGTGCTGAGAACGTCTTGAGCGAAACGCGGTTTTTCACGTGTCCAGGTCGCCCAGGCACAGCACAGCCCTCGGCACGGTACATCAAGATCGATACCCTTCGCATTGCAGCTTGGCATGTTGCTTGGCACGTTCCGCGGAGCGTCCCATGGCGAGTCCCCCTGGCACGTCGCGCGGTGCACGTCCATTGGCACATTCCGTAGCGCGTCCCCTTGGCACGTCCCGCGGTGCGTGCCCATGGCACGTCACCTGGCACGTCGCCTGGCGCGTCCCTTGGGACGTTCTGCGGCGCGTCCTCCTGGCATGTCCCCTTGTCGATTAGTTCAGGGGCAGCTACCATCTGCTCAGGCAGCTCGAGCTTAAGGTCCAGATCAGTTCGGTCAGGACTCGGATGCAAAGAGGACTCGATCCACAACGCTATATAGAGCACACTCGCGGCATGGCACATCGCAGTTCAGCACGGCCCAGCACAGCACAGCCGCCGGCACGGTACATCAAGATCGATACATTCAGCATTGCACCTTGGCACGTTCCTTGGCGCGTTCCGTGGCGAGTCCACCTGGCACGTCCCGCGGCACGTCCATGAGCACGTTCCGTAGCGCGTCCCCTTGGCACGTCCCGCGGTGCGTCCCCATGGCACGTCCCCTGGCACGTCGCCCGGCGCGTCCCTTGGGACGTTCCGCGGCGCGTTATCCTGGCATGTCCCCTCTGTCGATTAGTTCTGGGGCAGCTACCATCTGCTCAGGCAGCTCGAGCTTACGATCCAGATCAGTTCGGTCAGGACTCGGATGCAAAGAGGACTCGATCCACAACGCTATATATAGAGCACACTCGCGGCATGGCACATCGCAATTCAGCACGGCCCAGCACAGCACAGCCGTCGGCATGTACATCAAGATCGATACATTCAGCATTGCATTTGTCCGTCGCCCAATCAGGCGTTTTTGAAACGTTGCCATGCCTTAAATTTCCATATTCCTTTCTGGGTTCGTGGGTCGATCATGTTTTGGGTGGTACGTCGTTCGTTGTTCCACATGGAAAAATGCAGAGTACTGGAAACCAGAATGCGCAATCAGGACGTAGGCTGAAGCTTGGCGGTGGACCCGGTGGAGGCTTTGCAGCTTTGACAGCGCGAAGCTCCCTTGCAGGCGGGATCCCTCTCATCTGCCGGTTTTCTGCCCCCGCCAACCTGGTGCAGGGTCAACCCCCCCAGGAGTGCAGCACCCAGACGCCCACGGACGTCGACGCCGACAGCCGGTTCAGCTGGACCGCCAGCCACACGGACTGGGCGTCTCAGTACGGTGGGCCGCTCCGGAGCTGCCGAGGGCCGCGGGGCAGTCGCAGAGTTCCATCAGCCGCCCGCAGCGGTTTACGGATGACGGAAGTTGTGCCGCCCGCGCGGTGGATTTTCCCTTGTGAGCGTGAGGCACACGTTCTCGTTTCGTGTTTTTGGAATCGCTTCGCTCTCTCTGCCGGCCCATACTGCCTCACCGGATGTCGTTTGTCGGGGTGTTGTTGTCGATGCGGAGCCGTTGGGCGGCTGGACTCCTCCTGGAGCGTTTTGGGCTCTTGGAGGCCTTCTGGGCTGTTTTTTGGCGATGTTGTGAGCCTCCTCGGCAGTCTTCGAGCTCCGGGAAACCGAGAAGGCGAAAACGGTAATTTAGTTGAAAAGCGTAAAGGAAATCGTTAATGTTCGCCTCTTGGGGCTCTCTTGGGAGGCCTTTGGGTGGCCTCTTCGGAAATCTTGTACGCGTCGTGGGCCGTCTGGAAGCCGTCGTGGGTGTTTCGGACCGATCGTTCGACGAGCGCTGCCAATTGCCCGAGTGATCGTTGTCAATGCGTTGCTGCTGGGTGGAGTTGTTGATTATCGAAGACGCCTACTGCGAATCACCGCCGCCCTCTGCCTTCGGAAATCCCATTTGGCCGAGCGTTGTGGCAAGAGCTCTGCCAAGCTATCGGACCATGTGTTCCCCCAACCGTTGTTGAAACGCTTTGGGGAACACTTGGGGGAGCATGGCGGGGAAGATCAGGAGGAGGAGGTGAAGGAGGAGGAGGAGGAGGAGGAGGAGGAGGAGAAGGAGGAGGAGGAGGAGGAGGAGGAGGAAGAGAGGCGGATGAGGAGGAGGAGGAGGAGGAGGAGGAGGAGGAGGAGGAGGAGGAAGAAGGGGTTTGGAGGAGGGGGCATCTTGGGAACCTCTGGGGGAACTCTTGGGGCCTCCTGGGAGCTTCCTGGGAGCTTCTAGGAGGCATCTTGGGGGCCTCCTTGGGCCTCTTGGGACCCTTTGAGGGCTTCTCGGGGGCCTCTTTGGCCATCTCAAGGGATTCCTGGCCCGTCTGACGCCGTCGAACGCCGTCTTTGGGGCCTCTCTGGGCCGACTTGAAACCCTTCTGGGGTGTTCCATGGACGTCTTGGAGGCCATCTTGGGCCTTTTGGAGGCCTCTTGGGCCGTCCGGGGGCCTCTCGAGGCGGGGGGCCTCTTGGACCGTTCTGGGGCCGTCCTGCAGGCCTCTTGGGCGATCTTTGGGGCGTCCGAAAGCCGAAAAGAAGCAAACGCTTAAATCTCCCACAAACCATGAGGCATTTCGTGTTCTTGGTCTCTTCGGGCCTTCCTGGAGGCCCTCTTGGAGGCCTCTTGAGACGTCTCCGGGACCTCTTGGTGGCCTCTTGGGCCGTCTTAGGCCATCTTAGAACCATCTTGGGCCGTCTGGGTGGCCTCCTGGCCCGTCTGACGCCGTCGGAAGCTGTCTTGGGGGCCTCGCCCGGCCGATTGGGGGCCCTTTTGTGGTTTTCCAAGTACGTCTTGGAGGCCATCTCGAGCGTTTTGGAGGCCTCTTGGGCCGTCTAGGGGCCCTCCTGGGGCGGTCTTGGGGGCCTCTTGGGCCGTTCTGGGGCCATCCTGGAGGCCTCGTGGGCGATCTTGGGGCGATCTTTGGAGGCTCTTGGGACGTCGCAGGCCGTCGGAAAGCCGAAAAGAAGCAAATGCCGAACCCCCCTTTTAAAACCATAGGAAAATCAATGATTTGGGTCTCTCTGGGCCTTCCTGGAGGTCCTCTTGGAGGCCTCTTGGGTCGTCTTGGAGCACTCTTGGGCCATCTTGGGCCATCTTAAGGCTATGTTAGACCGTCTTGGCTGCATCTTGGGCCGTGTTGGAGGCATCTTGGGGCCATCCCAGCAGTCTTGGAGACCTTCTTGCCCATCTTGGAGGCATCTTAGAGGCCATCTTGGGCCATCTTGGCGGTCTTGAAAGCCATCTTGAGCCGTCTTGGGAAAATGTTTCGGCAACTTCCGCGCTTTGCGGTCCCTTCCCGGTGACCGGCGGGCTGGGCTGGAGTCCCAGGGGAGAGTTCTTTTGGCTGTATCTCTCTCTCTCTCTATATATATGTATGTATACACATACCAAAACCGAAAGGGTCCAGTACGCTAGACACTCCTGTGGCGAGCCAACAGGGGGCGGCGGATCGAAGACGCCTGCGGCGAGTCACCGCCGCCCCCTGCCTTTCTGGAAGCGCCCGCGTGGCCGAAAGTTGGGTTCGAGCTTGGCCAAGCTATCGGACCACGCGTTCCCCGAGTGGGTTTCGAAAGCTTTCGGGGAACACGGGAGCGGGCGAGCCATCGGACCAGGTGGGTTTCGAGCTTTCGGATTTCCTGGAGGACGTCTTGGAGGGCGCTTGGACGGTTTTGGAGGCCTCTTGCGGGCCTTTCAGGAAGTCTAAGGCTATCTTGAGACCATCTGGGGCAGTCTTGGGTGCATCTTGGAGCCATCTTCGTGGTCTTGGAGGCCTTCTTGGCCGTCTTGGGGACATCTTAGAGGCCATCTTGGCCGTCTTGGAGGCCATCTTCGGCGTCTTTGGGGTCATCTTGGCCGCCTTGGGCTCTTCTTGGGGCCCTCTTGGGGGCCTCTTGGGCTGTCATGGGGCCATCTTGGAGGCCTCTTGGGACGATGTTGGGGGCCTCTTGGGCCGTCTTGTGCCGTCGGAGAGCTGATAAGAAGAACATGCCAAAATCCTTCAAACACCTAAGGACAATAAATGATTCTTGTCCTTTCGGGTCTTCCTGGAGGACGTCTTGGAGGTTTCTTGGGGGCCTCTTCGCCAGTCTTAGGCCATGAGTCATCTTGGGCCGTCTTGGAGGCTTCCTGGACGAACTTGAAGATCTTGGACTCTTTCGGGCCGTCTTGGAAGCCATCTTGGACCATCTCTGGCGACTTGGAGGCCATTTTGAGCCATCTTAGAGGCCATCGTGGGCTAACGAGACCATCTTAGAGGCCATCTTGAGCCGTCTTGGAAAATTTGTTGTGGTCGTTGAGGTGGTTTGGGGGCTTTTCCGGGACCCTGGCGGGATCGGCCGAAGCCCCAAGTTCTTTGGAAAAGAACCACAACCCAAATCGAAAGGATTTTGCACGCCGAGCACCCTTGTGGCGAGCCAACAGGGGGCGGCGGATCTATTGGCCTTCGGCCCATGCCGCCACTGCGCCTGGGTTGTAGGTCAGGGGCCTCACGGATGTTGGTTGGGCTCTCGTGGTTGGCCTCTCGGGGGCCTCCGGGAGGCAGTTTTGAGGCCTCTTAGGGGCCGTGTTGGGGACTCTTGGGGCCTCTTTGGGGCTTCTTGGGGTGCCTCTTGTGGGCCCCTTGGGGCCTCTTGGGGCTGAAAGCTGGACGTTTCGGTTCCTTGTCTTCTTCTTGGGTCCATCTTGGGGCCGTCTTGGTGCCCTCTTGGGCCGTCTTGGGGCCCTCCTGGACTCTCTTGGGCCCATCTTTGGGGCGTGTTGGGCCGTCTGGGGACGATGTTGGAGGCCTCTTGGGCAGTTCTGGACGCTGTGCACCCCCAAACGTCGCACATGCGAAGAAAGTACGTTTTCCGGAAGGAGTGGGGCGATTTTTGCTTGTTTAGGCCTTCTTGGGGAGCCTCTTGAGGCTCTCTTGGGGTTTTCCCGGGAAAGGGCGTCGGCCCAGGGTTCTCTTTTAGCTGTTTCCCCCCAGACATGGCGACTGTAGGGGCGGCGAAATTAGCTTGCGATGAACAACAAGGTCGCGTAGGGCCCGCGAATCAGAAATTTGAGGATGTCCTCAGCGAAACGGTTGTTCTAGATAAGTTGTTTGAGGATACCTCATGCGAATTGTAGAGTTGCGGGATGTCCTGCGCGGGGCCCTCGTGGGGGGCCAGAATTCAGAGGATGTCTCAGGCGAAATGCTTGTTGTCACGCGCCCAGGTCGGCCATGGGGGTCGGATCGGATCGCCTGTGCGGGCATGCGCCTGGGCCCCGTAAGGGCGAGGCGGATGAGGCCATGGCCTCGCATGAGAGGCAGCGCGCGTCGGAGGCTTGCTCAGGATAATGCCTGCCTGACGAGTTGATGTTCCAATTGTGCCCACTCCTCTGTTGTAGCCCGATATCGTGACGTAGTTTCTTTGAAGTCGTAGTGTCTGTGGCATGAACCTGTCGGGGAATCCTGTGGATGGCATCGTCCTTTCTGTAACCGCGAAGCCCAAGCCAAACACGAACGAATTGAACGCCTCGGAACTCCAATCCAGTGCACACGGGCGCAGGATCACTCGTGCTCTCACGAGCTCTTTGACACATCCTTCATCTACCACTCTGGGCGCAGATACACGCCAACCGAAGTACCATACGCGCTCTGTGACACACCCAAGACATAAGCTGGAGGTCGATTGGTGGTGGAAACGGGAAGTCGGAGACTAGAACTTTCAGGTCGGGATGTTGTGCTGGTGGAGGGTGGAGGTTGATTGGTGGAGGTGGAAGTCGAGAGTCGGATGCTAAAGGTTGGTTGTTGGAATGCTGATTTGGTGGGCGTCGGAAGTCGCTAACTAGAGGCGGGAGTGGAGAGTCGGATGCTAGAGTCTGGAGGTCGGAATGCGTTGCTGTTGAACACTGTAGATCGATCGGTGGAGGTGGATGGAAAATCTGATGCTAGACGTTGGTGGTCGGAGTGCTGAGCTGGTGAACGCTGGAGGTCGATAGGTGGAGGTGGAAGTGGAAAGTCGGATACTGGAGGTTGGTGGTCGTAGTGTTGAGCTGATGATCGCTGGAGGTCGATAGGTGGAGGTGGAAGTGGAGAGTCGGATGCTGGAGATTGGAAGTCGGAGTGCTGAATTGGTGGACGTTGGAGGTCGATTAGTGGAGGGGGAAGTGGAAAGTCAGATGCTGGAGGTTGGAGGTTGGAATGCTGAACTGGTGGAGGTTGGGAGGTCGATCCGTGGAGGGTGAAGCGGAAAGCCGCATGCTAGAGGTCGGAGGTCGTAGTAATGTTGAGCTGGTGAACGTTGCAGGTCGATAGGTGGAGCTGGAGGTGGGGAGTCGGATGCTAGGGGCTGGAGGTCGGAGAGCTGAGCTGGTGGACGCTGGAGGTCGATTGGTCGAGTAGGAAGTGGAGAGTCGGATGCTAGAGGTTGGAGGTCGTAATGCTGAGTTGATGGGTGCTGGAGGTCGATAGGTTGAGGTGGAAGTGAAAAGGCGGACGCTAGAGGTTGGAGGTCGTAATGTTGAGCTGATGGAGGTTGGGAGGTCGATAGGGGGAGGTGGAAGTGAAGAGTCGCATGCTGCAGGTTGGAGGTCGTAATGTTGAGCTGATGGACGCTGGAGGTCGATAGGTGGATGTGAAAGTGGAGAGTCGGATGCTGGAGATTTTTTCACGGCCGGTCTCAAGAACATTTGCGCGTTCTTTTGCCTCTCAGCAAGAAACCCGGTCTTAAGTAGCATTCTTGGCCCCACTAGGCACCCAGCGGCCTCGAGGAGTCCCAGGGGCTCTCGCAAGCGCATCCACAGCAGTGAAAACTCAACGCGAGGCAGCGTGGAGAAGGTCGATTGGTGGAGCTGGCAGTGGAAAGTCGGATGTTAGAGGTTGGAGGTCGTAATGTTGAGCTGATGGACGCTGGAGGTTGATAGGTGGAGTCGGAGGTGGGAAGTCGGATGCTGGAGGTTGGATGTTGGAATGCTGAGCTGGTGGACGCTGGAGGACGATAGGATGCTGAAGGCTAGAGGTCGGAATGCTGAGCTGGTGGACGCTGGAGGTCGATGGGTGGAGGTGGAAGTGGAACGTCGAATGCTAGAGGCTGGAGGTCGTGATGTTGAGGTGGTGGAGGTTGGGAGGTCGAAAGATGGAGGTGGAAGCGGGGAGCCGGACGCTAGGGGCTGGAGGTCGGAATGCTGAACTGGTGGGCGCTGGAGGTCGACAGGTGGAGATAGAAGTGGGGAGTGGGGTGCTGCAGGGTGGAGGTCGGAAGGCCGAGCTGGCTGTGAAACTTGAGGCTGGTCCTGATGAGGCAATCCTGCTAGATGTGCCTGTGTCCTCGCGTGAGACATTGCGCCGGCCAGTCGCCCACTCAGGAACGTGCGGATTTCACGAAATTCTTATCCAGTTGTTCCCACTCCTGTGTCGTAGCCGGTTGTAGCCACGTGGTGTCGTTGAGGTCGTAGTGCCTTCGCGACGTCTGGCGTCGGTTGTCTGTGTCGTGGAACTGGCGGAGAAGCCCGCGGATATCATCGCCCCATCTCTTCCACTGGCCTCCATGATGACGCTGTCCAGTCTGGAAAGCGTGAAGGCTCGGGTGCTAATGAAGGTCGCGTTGTGGCCATTCATGTGGTAGTTGCTTCGCAACGCGGGCTGCGCATCTCCATACCATCTGTTTTTGCATTGTCACCGAATCGTGTAGTGTATGTGGTTTTGCATGAGGACCTCCGCTTGTCGAGTCGCTCGCTTGATGCATTCAACCCATGGCTCCAGACCGTCGTTTCTTGGCTGGTTGTCCTGGTTGTCGTCGGTATTGTCGTGGTCTGCGTCATCGGTTTCGTTGCTCAAGTGGGCGGTCGGTGGGTTGCTGTCTACATCTCCTCCGTCGGTGCTGTCTACGCCGGATACCAGAACTTGCGTCGAAGGTGGCTTTTGTGGGGTGGTCGCGCCGGGCGTTGGTCTGACATTCGGTGTTTCGTCGTCGAGGGGTGCAGATAGCCATGCGCAACATGCGCCGTTGTGTGCGTTGTAGCTGCTGTCGCAAAGGCTCAGTCAACGTCTAAGTACCTGCGCCGTAGAGAGAACAGTTGGCGTGACCGTGCCGTCAAAAAGACGGAGTCACTGTTTCAGCGGATAATGTTTTCCAGTGAGTTCTTGTCTGCGGTTTGTGAAAGTTGTCCACCCTGCCGTCAGGCGGTTCTTCACCTCTGTGGCATTTGTGTCGTCGAAGTTGATGCGCTGACCCCGATACTTCACAGAACCAGAGTATGGTAAGATTTCGATGTCGAGGCCGTGGCTTGTCACCTTGCGTTGACGTGCCCTTCCCGCGCGCACTGACAAGCTGGACAGCATCTTCGTTTTGTTGGGATGTATATGAAGTCCATGCGCTTGTGCTGCTGCGGCCATGTCCTTGAGCATAGTGGCGAGGCGAGAGAGCGTCCGACTTATCAGGATAACGTCGTCAGCGAAGCGAAGGTTCGTGAGGCAGTATTCGTTTCGGCCCTCGGCATTCGCCTCCAAGGATTGCGCCTCGCGTTGCCTCGTGGACTGGTCTGGGGGTCTCCTTGTGCTTCTCTCTCTTGGTGACTTGTCCCTCCAATCGTATCGTGGTTCTCTTAGGGTCCTCTTGAGGCAATATTTGGACGTGTTTGGGCACTTTTTGGTCGTTTCATGGCTTTCCTGAGGCACCGTCGACCTCTTGTTCAACCACCCTGTGGTGTTGGGTCCTCGTTTTGAAGAGACAACACCCAGCGTTACCTCTCTCCCGCTGCCCCCTCCCTCCCCCCATCCTTGCTTCTGTTCTCCGCATACCCACCATTTCGGCACACCCCTCACACGCTTTGTGACCCCATAGGGCACTCCATCGAAGGCCCAAATGGCTGCGTTCGCATGCGGCCACCATACCCATGTGGGCACACCTTTCGCACGTTTCGTTGCCCCCGAGGGATGTGCACCGAAGCCAAGATGCCAGCGGTCGCATGCAGCCACCGCACCCATGTGGGCACACCCCTCACGCGCTTCGTGGCCCCATATGGGGACTCCACCGAAGGCCCAGATGCCAGCGTTCGCACACGGCCACAGCACGAATGTTGGCACACTCCTCCCACCCTTCGTGGCCCCTTAAAGAGCTCCACCGAAGGCCAAGATGCCAGCGTTCGCATGCGGCTGCCGCATTCATTTTGGCGCACCACTTACACGTTTCGTGGCCCCAGAAGGAAACTCCACCGAAGGCCCAGATGGCAGCGTTCGCACACGGCCACAGCACGAATGTTGGCACACTCCTCCCACCCTTCGTGGCCCCTTAAAGAGCTCCACCGAAGGCTCAGATGCCCAGCGTTCGCACGCGGCCACCGCACCCATTTTGGCACACCCTCACACGTTTTGTGGCCCCACAGGGAGGTTCACTGAATGCAGTGCGTACCTCAACTATGCCCACAGTTGCAGATGGTTGAGTCCTTCGCCAGGCTAATTGTTTTGGGGGTTCTTGGGGCTGTCTTGGGGCTCCCCAGGGGCGTCTTGAGTTTCTCCAGTGGCTCTGTGAAGCGTGCTGTCTTGAGGCCATCGTGGGGCCCTCTTGGATCCGTTTTGGAAATTCGTGCCCCAGTTGAGTTATCGAAAGTTCAAACGCTTGGAATCCAAATAGCACTGGAACTTAAATGTACTCGTAAAGTTCTCCCCAGACGATTGCCTTACGGGAGTCCCTTCTGGGCCCTATTGGAGCGTCTGTGTTCGTCTTGGAGACCTCGTGGGGCCCTCTTGGGCAATCTCAGCTCCGTCTCGAACCTGTTGGCTCGGTTGGGGCCGTGGGTCGCGTCGGCCGCCTGTGCGGCCATCTTGCCGCCATCTCATTTCCAAATCGGTGCTTGCACCTACGGGTTCTGATCTGTCTTCCTTGAGGTGCGGTGGGGGCGTTGGTTAAGGAATGTGCACGGGAGGCTTCAGACCCTGGAGAGTTCCGCATCTGACGAGGGCGGCGGTGAGATCCGTGGCCGATCCGCGACTGGAGCTCCACTGGCTTCCAGACCCTGGATTCCTTATCTAAGGGTTCCTCGTCCAATGCCCTCACCGTCTTGATGAGCTGCGGCGGTAGCGCTGTGGTATGCGAGTGGCATAGGCTGCCAGGAGCCCTGCGCGGCTGCGCTGCGCTTTCGGGGTTCCTGCCTGCATGATTTTCTCTGTGAGTTTCTGTTCCTCCATGGATGCGTCGGCAAAAAATGCTCTCACCGTACTCATCTTCCTCGAGGTACTTGGTTGGGCGTGCTGGATCTTCGGCTGGTGCCCGGGTGGTAGGCCCCTCTCGGGTGCCTCGTGGGCCCCCGCCATGCCGGGTGGGCGTGCCGAGGTGCGGCAGGGTGCCCGGCGGGGGGCGCTCGTGGGCACCGCCGAGGACGCCTCGCTCCCCAAGCCGTGCCTGCACGGGGGGGGGCCCCCGCGGAAGCGGAAAAGTGCGGCGAAAGCGTCCCGCCGATTCTCGTCGCACGCTGGGTTCACGGGTTCCCGGTGTATGGTTCCGGGCCGAGTTCGGCGGGTTTTGGGTTCCCGGGCCCCGGGGTTCCCCGTCGATCTCCTCAGCGAAAACCATGTACTGATTGGGTTTTTTCTCTGGTGTGATACCCTATTGGGGCATGCGTGGTCCGTTTTGAAGCCGCTGTGGAACTTCGCGTGGGCAGAACGGGCGGCAGGCGTAGAACACGCCGACCTATATGTGCTCCCAAGTTCTCTTCGGCATCTTCGAGAGTCCTTAGGGCCGTGTGGGGGCCATATTTGGGGTATATTGGGCCGTCCCGGGATCTTGGTGTCGTTATCGGGGTCTCTTGTACCTTCTCGGCGGTCTGGTCGTGCCCTTGTTGGAGTATTGCGGCAAATTGGGGTGGCCAAGGAGCTGGGATCACCGCCTATAGGTTGCCTCTCTGCTGACGTCGTAGTAAACAGCAGCAGAGGAGACAAGACTGGCGAGAGAGGAGACGGGAGGCGACACAGATTCTCCAAGCAGCAGCTGGGCCTGCGGGCTTCTCTGGCCGCCATGTCGCCACCGTCGCCGCCATGTCGCCACCGTCGCCGCCCCGTCGCCGCCTCGTCGCCGCCCGTCGTCTGGGCCTGCGCACCGCTCTGGCCGCCATGTCGCCACGTCGCCGCCGTCGCCGCCTCGTCGCCGCCCGTCGCCTGGGCCTGCGGGCCGGTTTGGCCGCAGTTTCCTGCCGCACGTCGCTTGGGCTTGCGGGCCGCTCTGGTCGCCATGTCGCCGCTCGTCAAAGACTGTCCCCTCGTCGCCGCCCGCCGTGCATTGGTTCGCATAGCGTCATATTGCTTTGCATACATTGCTCTGCATAGCTTGGCATTGCTGTGCGTTGTTGCGCGTTGTTCTGCATCGTGTTGCATTGATTTGCGTTGCTTTGCATTGCGTTGCATTGCAGTGATCTGCATGGGTTTTCTTCGCATTGCTTTGCATTGCGTCACATTGATATGCCTTGCTGCGCCTTGCTTTGTTTGCACTATCCACATAGCTTATACACCATACATATATATATGTGTGTCCTGTTGCACCGCATTGATTGCACCACATATATTGCACCACGTAGACTGCGCCACGTAGCTCACAACACAGATATTGCCGTACATAGTTTTTGCCGCGCGACTTGCACCACAGTTATATATATATATATACATGTATAGGCGCAGTATATATATGTATATATGTATATAAATATGCGTATCCATCCGAAGACGCGATATCTCTGTGTTAGCGAATAGCGATGTAACGAACCAACACTTGTAGGAAAGCGCGGTTCATGGCCAAACCACTTGTCGGAACGCTGGTTCGTGCTTTCCTACAGCTCGCTGTGTCGTTTTGGTTCGGTGCATTTGCATATTTGACATGTAGGAAACAGCCTTTCGTGATTTCCTACATTTTGTTCTTCGTGAGCTCGGTATCCCAAAAACCACATTCCCAACCGCACAGTTAACCAAGCACGCCGTTAGCGCGGCCTTGGTTCATATTCGTATATTTATCTGTATAGGGCTGGGGGCCCCGGAAAAAGCGCACCCCACCCCCCGTAACGAATTTGGCTAACCCCAGGCCTCTCGGGCATCCCTCCAGACGACCCGGGAGAACAACACGAGAGCCCGAAGACGGCCCCAGAGAGTTCCAGACGTTCCGGCGCGCTCCCGAAACAACCCCAGCGAGCCCCGAGACGGTCCACGACGACCCCGAAGAAACCGTCATACCCTTAAAGATCGCCCCGAAACGTCCCAAAATGCCTTCAAGAGCATTCCCAAGAAGGCCCCACGTGGCAAAAATCATTGATTTTCTGATGGTTGTTGGTGAATTTGGGCGTTCTCTTTTCGGCTTCCCGACGCTCCGAAACGGCATTCTTCTGGGCGTCCGAAGCCGCCAGGGAGGCTCGAACATCGCCCCACAACCATCCGAAAGGTTTTCCAGGGAGTCTAAGAGAGCCCCAAGCCAGCACAACAGGGTTGCAAGATTGCCTGAGAGAACCCCATGACGGCCCAAGATGGCCCCAAGACACCCTCCGGAGCATTCCGAACCGTGACCTGGTCGTTCAGGGAGACCGCGGTTGGAGGCAGGGTGGCCCGAGGAAGCCCCTCAAAGCCTCCAGAAGACGCCCATGAGGCCTCCAGAAGGCCGTAAGAAAGCATGACAACTTTGCGTTAGGCCCCCAGATGCTCTCCAATAAAGAGCCTCCACCAAAAGAGCCGAGGAGGATGGTGAGAATACGCAGGGTAGGGCGAGAATGAGGAACAAAAATGTCGCCTGCGTACCAAACTTCAAGGACCAATGTGCATGGCGCGAAACGCCACTGCAGTCTTGTATATTCGCATGTGTACATACGTATATGTACCGCACCAACACAGCACACTCCATCTATATTGCACCACGTAGCTTACATCTCGTAGAGTGCGCCACGTGGATTGCACCACACAGTATGCCAGAACATACTGGTTGGGGTCCACTCTGGCGAACTCTGGCGAACATGTATGTGCAAGATATACAGGGAGAGAGACATAGAGAGAGAGAGAGAGAAAAGTCAAGATACACTCCCCCGGCAGAAGACTAGCAGTGGAGGTCGCCAACGGAATTTCCTTCTCTGGGGTCACGTGCCAGCACCATGTCAACTGTACTGGGATGTCTTTTGCGAGTTCAGTATGGTGAAGGATTACGTTTTTTAGCTGTTCTGGAACTACTGACATTCATCAGCCTACAACCTACAATTCCCGATCGAACAGCCGAGAAGGGCGCGTGGCGCCGCTCAGGGGGTGACCAGCTCCGCTTGTGGCATGGAGGGCGTGCAACAGAGCAGCGAACAGGAGGACGGCGCAGCGAACAGAAAGACGGGAACAACTGGACGAAGAGGAAGCGCTGATCCTCGCAGCAGCGGCGCCTGCCCTGCACTGCCCCCCCCCCCCCCGCCGTCCTCGGGCGCCGTCGCACCCCCCCGCGCCGCCCAGGCCTCGAGGGGCGCGCTCCCGTCGCGGCCTCTGCGCGCGCGCCGTGCGCGCACCTGCGGCAATGCAGCTGCGCCCGCGGGGGCCGATCGTCTGAGCGGCTCCCGGGGGGGGGCGGAGGGAGCTCTCGGAGGGCGCTGGGCTGCACACCAGCACCGATCTTGGCCGGGCCCGTCCCAGGCCCAGTCTTGGGGCACGCGGTCACGAAGTTCTGTTGAGCGTGTCGCGCCGCCTGTCCTGGCCCACTGCGCCTCGGCGCGACACGCTGGGCACGTCCAAGTCCCAAGCATCAGTGCTCCGGGCCTCAACCAGCCTGCGTCCCACGGTGTACAGCGACACGGCATCGGCATCAGCTTACAAGTCATAGCGTGTCGCAAAGGCCGCCGCCGCGATACGCTAAGCGCAAGTTCCTCACTGAAATTATTCCGTCCTGTCGTTGCGGCATATCATCAGCAGTCAGTTTGGACCGGAAGCGTCCAGAGAGGGACGAGAGGGTAGCCCAATATTGACGACAGTGTTGTCGACGTGTTCTCGATCGTCCTTGGCTGAATTGACCTGATCGGCGCATGCGTCGACTCAAGACCCCAGCATTGTCTAACCGACCCCCATCCAGAATGGCTCAGCCCCACTAGCCCACAGCCCACCCTCCCAGGTGGGGATAGGCCCCGCGAAGTCCGATGGGAATAGCATACGTCCCCACCTTGGGGATCAAGTCCGCAAGTGGGGCCAAGGCCATGCCAGTGGAGATGGAGACCGTTTGACGATGCTCAGTCCTGCTCTTCGGGCTCCTTGCTGGGAGCAGCATAAGACGGCTCCAAAAGCACTGTTAGCCGCCCACCCGCAAAGGGCTCGAGGCACTGAATCGCTTCGGGGGAGGGCTCCCGCCACAGTCGTGCTTGCATGTTGCTCGGCGATTGTGGTCGGGTGGCCAAGCTGGCGCCTGAGAGCCACGCTTTCGCCATAGCGCCACAGCTCGGGGGCCCGGGATCGGCCTGGCCAGGACAGGTGCTGGCGTTCAGTCCGCGCGAGCGTTCGCGCCAATGCGCCCAGCGGCCGCCCTGGTGCTGCTCGTGGCCGCCGTGGCAGGGCGGGCGCTCGGGGTGCGCCGCGTGCGAGAGAAGCCCAGCGCGACTTCGCAGGCAGCACCGTCGCCTCCGTCGCCATGGAGCAAACGTCGAGTAGGAGATCGGTTGCAGAATTGATTCACCTCAAAAGGAGTCAACACATGAAAGTAGAACGTTCCACAGATTTAGAATGTTCCTAGACTGTCTACAAGACATACCGTGGGGACACACATCATTTATGTAGTCGATCCCTACTCAAACGGAGTAAACGGGTCCTGAGGGAACGGGGTCCTAAGGGTTTCTGCCGTGTTTGGCCTCCCGGGGCCCTCCGAGGGCCCCGTCGGGGGCCGACGAGTAACGGTTCAACACGAACAGCTGGTCCCAGAGAGCGCCCTGGAGCCCAGGACTCGTTCCTTTCGGGATCCGCTTGCGTCATGCCAAGTCGCCGCCGCCGCCGTCGTCGTCGTCGTCGTCGTCGTCGTCGTTTGCGGTTGTCTCGGCTCTCTGCTCGAGGCAGCGTCGGCCTCGTCGAGGAGGGGGGACGCAGCGGGGGAAAGCAGAGGGGAGGGGAGGGGAAAGGGATCAGAGGGGGAGGAAGGCAGGGGAGCAGAAGGGAATGGGCGAGGAGGCAGAGGGTAGTGAGGCAGAGGTGAGGGGATAGGCAGGGGAGGGAGCAGCAGG